GTGTCTGTATAGTGTCTGTAGGACACTAGAGCCTTGGTCTCTATCCCTAGGGAGAGCAGGAGTTTTCAGGCAGCAGTGCATTTTTCAGGAAATGCTCTGAGGTCAGAGGAATAAACCCAGACTAAATATTTTTTCTCTGCTGGATCACTGAGTCAGTGGTGCAGGTATGATTTTTGTCAGGCACACTGGTGACATACAAGCAGCAGCAAAACCCCACTAATGAGCTTGGTGTAAGATGCTATATTGCTCTGCTCCCTCAAATAGCTAGATTAACTGTGTGTTTTCTTATACCCTGGAACATGGTCAATAGCAAACTTGAGAGAGCACTGATTTTTAGTAAAACACTTCAGCAACTTACACAGGAATATTATGGAGCAAGTTCTAAAGTGCTTTTCTGCTGTTTCCCATCCAAGTGATTTTTCACAGTGCGTTTGGTGAGGAGTTATTAACTGCAAACAGATTTAAGTTCTGAGGACTCCCTAGATCTAAACCGATGCTTGTCATTCAAATGCCCCAACATGAATCAAGTACAAATGTGAATGTTCACAGCCAGTGCAGTTCATTTGGTAACAAGCATGCATTTAGCATTACACAAAACACAGCCCTCCACCCCTTGACAGTCCTTGCTTGTCCTGGTATTTTGAAGGAGAAGGGGGAGGACATTTATTCTTGATGGTGAACTTTAAAAGTATATTTTCTTTTTAAATGCCAACCTATTCCTTTTCCATGTGTGTTTCAAAAATGTCTCTGACACTTTGGCTCAGTACCTAGGTATTCCAGCTGTTATTCTAAGATGGTGGAAATTAAAGTTCTGTTGACTTCACTGGAGCTTTGCCAGTTTTTCTCAGAGGAAGATTTGATTTCAGAATATTTTGTGGAGCCTAGGTCTGACATATGCACTGCAAGCACTGTGGGTGCTGGGTAGTAACTGTACTGATGCCAGTAGCTGGGCTGATTCAGGAAGGGAAATTCCATGGTGTAGCAACGGTTGCCATTCTGACCCTCGATCTCCTATGCAAATTAAATATTCAAACTGTCTCTTGCAAAGGTGGAACTGCGTTAGACTGGCCTTTTCTAATGCAGAATGATGTGCTAAAGGGTTGAGAGTCTGGTCCTGATTCCAGGCCCTTGATCACTTTGAGCCCAGGAGAGCAGAGGTTTGAACCTTCCTTTCCTGAATTTCCTGTTGGTGCCATAGTGTCAGGTCACCACAGCCTGAAAGCATCTCTTTTTCATGTCGCTGACCTAAAAAAATACCTTAACTAAGTAAAATTGAATGCCTGCTTTTTTCACAGAGGGGGAGTCAGTGCCCCAAATCTGCCCTGCTTTTTCCAGCTGTATTCTTGTTCCTGTTAAAAGTCACTGCGTGTCCTTCAAAATTTTTTATCCTTTAGCACCTGTTGTAATACCACAACAAAAAGATATCACCAGTTGTTCCAGCTAGCACAAAGCAAGAACTAATGTAGGTTTCATGTCACAACAACCTGGGCATATAACTAACGAATCCATTTGTAAGATATCTACTGAACTCCATGGACAAGTAGTTCCCAATCCTGGCTATACTTAGTTGTCTCTGTGCATAATCCTGCTGCAGACACTAAAGTTAATGATAAGTCTCCTATGCATTTCAATGTGTGTAGGTTAGGGCCCTTATATATTAAGGGTTTATTATTGCAAATTTGCTGAAAGCACCAAACCCTCACTGCTCCTATGTGCCTCATTTTCAGTCCTGCAGAGACATCATAATACCATGTTTGTGATAACTGAGTCATTCCCATGACAACAAATGGAGTCAGAAATACAAGATTCTGACCTTCCTGTGTGATCAAACAAAACAGAGAAGCTGGGCAAAAAAAGACAAAAGTTCACCAAACACAAATGCCTATAAACTCAGCAAGCAGGTGGGAGAAAAGCAGCAGATAAAGATAAAACATTTCTCCTTCTCTGAAGTTCTGCCCCAAGGTAAATGTCCCTCCACAGGTTTTTCTCATGCGAGGATCTGCTATGGTTAGCATAAGTATCTTCCGCTGCAGAAAGCTCCAAGGAGAGCAAACAATAGCTTGCTAATAAAGCCATTTCACATTAATTCTTTCTGGAGGATGAGCTGTGAAAAGCAATACTATTTTACAGGTCCTTCCAGTATATCTAAAAGCAAGGCAATTAAATAGCATTTCAATCTCCTCCTATTTCTTAGAATTGCATTAGTAGTCTTTGCTATAGAAATCCAGGCAGAGGAAGTGAATCAAATGCTGTATTGGTAAAAGAATTGGGTTAGAAAAAATGTTAGTGGCTAACTGGCAGTGTGGTCACCACAAGAAACCAGCGACAAGACCTGAGTGACCATAAGATATCTGCTCCCTGGGCTGTGGCAGGAACAGAAACAAGGCACAACTGGATCAGTCGACGTTTCCCATTAGTTCATAGGCACAAAGAGATAATTGGGAGGACAGATGTTGCGGCTGGTCTGGCAATTAAATAATAGTTTCAGATTAAAGTAGCTTTCAAAACCAATGCTAAAGGATTGACAGCAGTAAAACAAAAGTTGTAGGTGCTGCTAGGAAGACTGGTAGTCCTCACAACTGTATCAGTGTGTGATGGACTTCTAATTCCCACATTGTGTGAACATTTTTGAGACTTCCAGTCATAATGAACCACTGAGCAGTCAGTCACAGGATCCTACCCTTTAACAACATCAGCATTAAGACTTACTGTGCCTTAGTGGTATAATAGAGAGCATGGTTTGAATAGTCCTAAGGTAGAGGTAACTCAAATCTGATCTTCCACTGACAGAACTACACCTGATAATATGTACAAAAAAACTTGCTCATAGCTTCTAGAGCTTGGAAAGGGTCTTTTTCCTTATAGATGGGGTGCTATGATAACTGTATTTGTCATATGGCTGTATATTATGGATGCAGTGAAGAATTAAGAATGAGAAATGGTCAGTGAAAACAGAACTGTTGATGACAGTCCATTGGTTTACACTGACTGCACCAAGGAGTGGCTGTTTTGTGGCATTGCAGAGACAAGCCCAGACAGGTGGAACCAAGAGTTGTGGCCGCTGCCCTCATGCGTAACAGATTTAGTGTTGACTGTAAACAAAGAATCCCTGCAGGATCTTCCAGCCCATAGGCTAATGAAATCCAAGGAAGATAAAGGATGTCAGGTCTGGACTCCAGGAGTAGAGAAGGGAAAGTCTCATTAATACAGCTACTTATGCCTGATACTTCAAGAACAGGTCAAAGTAGTAACAGAGGACTCCTGCTAGACAGGTTGGTGAAGCTTTGATTTTGTGAGTAAATGATCGCTGTACCCAGGGAGCTTGCCCAGTGGTGCTCAAAGTCAGTCCCACTTACATCCTGACATGTACACATTACTCACTGACAGTTCCAGTGTTGGGGATCTGAGTTTTCGTTGGCCTCAACAGGCAAATTACAACCCAGATACCGTGGGCCAGAAATGGTAGAGCAAGCAGCTGTTGCTCTGCTGCCTCTGCATCTGCCTGACACAATAATTAAATCTCATCAGCCATTTGGTGTAATGGAAGTAAACCAACTGCAACAGAAGGATTTTGCAGCACAACTGTCTCATGATGTGTAACTGCAGCTATATATTTGTCTTCATAATTAATTCTGTAAGCATTTATATAGCACTAGAAGGGACTGAGTAATTTAGAAAGCAGTGGAAGAGATCGTTAAAAATAGCAAAAGGCATAATTACTTTTTTTTATCATCAATCTCCTCCTTATCTTCTCTGCTATGTTCACCATGGACTATCCATGGTGGTGCTGTAGTGGGACAGGCATTGCCTGCTAAGAGTCCCATAGGGGCCAGAAGCCCTAATTTTGCTGCAGCACTGACATTGCCTGTGTCTTGAACACAACAAATTCACTCCCTTTTGTGGAAAATGTGGGTCTCACTTCAGTGGAATTTTTGTGCTGATATTTGTGACGTAGGCTGGTACCTAATGTTGTGGCTGCATTAAAGGCTGCATTTATGTTCAGAGTTTAATTCCTTGTTTGATGAAATTAATGGGTTATTGAGCTCTTATCTTCAGGATTCCCTTACAGATAATTGACTTGACCTTTTTTTTGGGGGGAAACTCATGTGGTGTAGTTTGTTGCCAGGAGTTACCCAGGAATCTTGCCAGTGGAAATCTCCCTTCTGAATTAAATTTTTCTGAATTCCGTAGCCCCAAATTTGTTATCTCCTGGTCATGCTAATCCACATTAGATTCATGAGATTAATTGAGCTACTCCAGATTTGCACCAGCAAGTGTAATGGGACTTCCTTGTGTGGCCTTCCCATGAGTGCACATCAATAGATGTGACTTTATTGTCTTCTTCACTGTCAGTGTTGTGTTTCTTTCACTATTTTGCATCATACAAAATTTTAAGATAGGCCTAGTAAGGTATAAGAGGTACTGAGTCAGGCTGCACTACAGGGCCTTTTTTCTGACCTCCAGCCTTGTAGATTCCAAAGCCAGGATTCAGAGCCTGTTGCAGCTGGGGAGATGATTATGAGCTGGATGAGCTGCCAAAGAAGCTCCTTCCTGCCGACAGAGAGCAGAAGGCTGGCTCCTCTCTTCCAGGCATCAGCATTCTCATTTTACAGACTGGAGAATAATTAAAACAGAACTTCTGTGCCGTGTGCTGGCTGGGAAGGAACCAGTCATCAGCTTGGGCATGAGCATTTGTAACCACCACTTTGGAATTGGAAAATGGACTCAGAAGCAATTGTTTTCTTCTCGAAGGTCAGCAGTGTTTTCCTTCTAGGAGACAACAGTTTGCCACAGTGAATTCTTGAAGATAGTGAAATATTTTCCTGAAAGGCATAATTTAACTACCAGCCTCAGCCAGCTTCAGCGTACCAGGCACCCAGGCTGGATCCTAGGGCAAGGACAAGGGTTGTTCTAACCTTCTACCTGGCAGTTTGATGTAACTGAAATGAGTGTCCCTGGTGCTTCATTTCTCTGAGTTCTCTTTGGTTTGTGTCTTTCAGAAGCGCTCTGGAGGTGTGTGCTCATACCTGCATCGAGTGTGCTGGGCAGCACTACCATTGCAACTCCTCCTCTTGCTCCTCCTGCTCCTGGCCTTCCTCCTGCCGCTGGCAGAAGAGACCTGCAGCTGCACACTGGCCAACAACTTTGCTCGGTCCTTCAAGCTGATGCTGAGATACGAGGGCCCACCCCCAACCTAACTTCTTGGCATGACACGAGGTGACTGGCAGAAGTACAGGCTCTTTGTTTTTAACAATTGCGACTATCGTAGATTTTAGGGCTTCTAACAGAGCCGTCATATCAGCTGGATAGGTCACATAGGTGCAACATTAGTCCAATTTAATCAGGTATTTGAGCAAAATTAATATTTTTACAATATTTTATTATTATATTTATAATATGTATATAGGGACTGTGTATGTGTATGTATGTACATATATGTATAAATGCATATCTGTGGTCAAACTAACACCCATCATCCACTCATCCACTGTTTAAGGACAATCCTGCGATATTTCTGTTTCTGCCATCTTTCAGCAAGCAATACTGAAGGATGGTTTTGTTGTGGGGTTTTATGGGTGATTTTTAATATTGGATTCTTGTTGTTTACAACTGAAGTCAGAGCAAGTCTGGGAACATGTGTGCATGCATCACAGCGCAAACTGGAGAGCAGGCACAGTAGAATCAGGTTTGAAAACAGTGGTTGACATTCAGCCCAAGAAAGATTTGGACTATTCTATTTGAAATCTTGAGCTGCTTTTCCAGTATCTAGATACACGGAGTTCAGAAGCTAATGGAAATGTTGCTACTGACTTCAGTTGGAGTGGGGGTGGACCTCCTCTTGTTTTAATTTTTTTTCTTTTCCAATTACTGTGTTCTCTAGCCCACCTGAATCAGGAGAGGTAGAATACAGTAGGAAGAAAGCTGAGAAAAAAGAATATATTTTTTTAGCATCTCTTTAGCAGAAGAACTTTTAAAATCAGGTCATCATTTTCTGAACAAATTTGTGAGCACTGAACAAAACCTTGTATCAACCATCTTGCATATAAAAAGCAATGGGTTTTTTTCTGTTGTTTGTGGGGTTTTGTGGTTTGGTTTGTTGGAGTTTTTTACTTTATAAAGAGGCATTTAGTAACAGATCATAAAGCCTGAACAGTGGGATGCAGCCTGGCTCAGTGTCAGCAAAGCAAAAGTCAGAAGTACTTTAATAATACCACCCTGGAAACACGATTCTTTCCTAGGATGCTTTTATATGAATGGTTTATTGAAATGTTGTAAACTGATTGTATCAAAGGGAGTCAAGTGTAAATTTTCATATGGTCTAAACTCTAAAATTATGACAACTTGTCATTTATTTACCTAACCTTATGCCTGACTTATCAAATTTTTGAATGTACCTTTTAACATTGCCTTTTAATGTAAAAGCAATTCTCACTTTATTATGATGAATCCATTCTTAGTGGTGTTTTAAGTAGTTGATTCCTGAAAGAAAAAGTAATTTCTAAAAATGTGTGCCATTTTTGAGAACTAACCCTTATTGTCTCATGTTTTTAGTCACAGTAGTAATCATGGGAAAAAAAAAATTAACAGCCTCCTGGCTATGTTACAGGGAGAACTTGTCTTCTGAGTATCAGTATGGGGTATTCTGTGTTTTTAACAAGCAAGTTCCAAAATAATATAAAAGCTGTTGTGCAGCTAAATTATGTAGTAGCTGAGAGACTGAAGGAGGCAGTCATTTATTTAAGAAAACCATTAAAGTTTTGCTAAAGAAGCAAACTTGGGTAAAACAGGGAGGTGGAGCAGCAAGGAGCTCATTATGGGCACAGAATGAGAGAGAACAGGCAATGTGAAAGAGGAGCTGCTAAACATAGAGAAGGAGAGGTGTGCAACAATTTATAAAACCTAAGAAAAGGAGTCACAATGAACACAGAGGACAAAAATAAAGGTTCTGTGGAGGAAAAATCTCAGAATCTTTTTTGGTTCCCTCTCCCTGCTACGGTATTCATACTGTTCCATATTAAACAGCTTTTCTTCAGTAAGATTTAAAATGGGGCAAGTAACGGGGACATTACCAGTGTTCTGAGGAGACTCTTCCATGACCAGGACCCTGTCACTGTGTTCCTAATAATGCTTCTGACTACACTGGGTTTACTAATGTTGGATTAAAATGCCAAAATTCTGCTAAAAATATAAAGGAGAGTGGAAGTTAAAGGAGATGGAGAAGGTAATCAGTCAGAGCACAAGAACAGAATGAGGAGGAGCTGAGCTGATGTGGATTAAACCTGACTGTCAGGAGATATCAGAAGAGCTCTCAGAGCAGGCAGAAGGGGACTGGAAGCAGAAAGATGAGGAGTGTGGATGTCTACTGAGCAATGAGACATTCACATCTGGAAGTAAAGGAGGGCCTATGATTTCTTTCATGACGGAGCCAGGTGTAGAGGAGCTATAATTTGTCAGAGGATGGGGCAAATTAATTCTTTCTTTGCAACTGTTCTCTCTGGTGGCAGAAGACATACCTCTTCCTCTCCTCTGATTATCTGTGCAAGTGCCATGCACCATTCCTCTAAAAACTGCTATCAGCCCTGAGGGAAGAAACCTTGTGGCTGCCCAGCAAGGAGCTAATCATGATACACATCTCCATTTCAAATTAAATCCTCCAGCAGAAAAGAAGTGTGGGGGAAGAGGGGCAGTAACAAAACCAGCTCTGTGTGGTTGTGGATACGTGTAGGTGTGCACACACTTTTTTGTGACGTGGCTACATTGCACTTTTCTGGGTCTTGCTGAGCTGTTGCAGGTGATGAAAGCAAAATACCAGTGAGAAAGTAAAAATAATGAGGAGTAATAAAACTGCAAGTGGAAATCAGTAGGGAGATAGAAAAGTTTTTTCTATGAAAGCACAAAATCTCACGTCAGGTTTCTTTCTGCCCAGCCTTTCTGATCTGGGTGATTTGTACAGGTTCACAAACGCATTTGACACCACAGGAGTGTGCAACTGGGGAGAAAAATTTCTACACAGAGGATCATAAGAGAACAACTGCATCACCACCTTGATGTTTCAGTGTTGTGGCAGGTTAAAAAAAAACCACAAAAAACCAAAACTAAATTAGAAACACACTTTTGCTGCTGGGATTGCAATCAATTTATTCTGTAGGTCCCCTGTCTGTAATCTTGGAATTTTTTGCTTTAAATCTCAGTCGATCCATTCTCATTAAGTAATCTAAATATCTCACATAAGTGATGAATATTTCTACTTCTTTACCATGAAAACTCTCTGAAGCACAGGACTTAAATGTTCATGTCACTGAAAACAATTTAATTCTTCCATAATGTCATTGACCTTACCTGTCCAAGGCAGGTGTGAGATTTTTCTAAGAAAGAAGTAAAAAAAAAAAAAAATCACAAAAATACGCTTGAAATGTAAATGCAAAATTTATTTTCTTTTTTAGTCTCTTGTGATATTTTTTCTGAAAAGTTTGTCATACTGATTCCTGGAAGTGTATGTAAATATTAATCAAGTCGGTAATTGGAATAATGAAAACAATCTGCCCAGTCCAGCTTCCAGGAAACTGTACAAATCTCAGATTCCTCAAAACACAATCTAAATCATACTGTTTCCAAATCAGTCCTGAAAATCTTGAGCACAGTTCTTTATCTTTGCTCACAGATGATTTGGTAGTTATACTCTCACTTTTGAGCCTATAAAATCCCCAGCTCATACATCTCTGACATCCAGATATAACTGAGGTGTGTTATAGCTCAGGTTCAGACTGGGGCCACTGCCTTAAGACATCCCTTGCCAAAGCCTGGGATGCACAAAATAGATAAGCGTCCAAAACTGAGGACTTGCACTCCTTTACCCTAATCCAGATCCAGCCACTGTTAAAGGGTACTAAAATACTCTAAAATATATCAAATATATTTGTGGTTGTAAATTGTTTGTGCACCTGGTTCAGGCTGCATAGCCTGTTCTCCATGCAGGTACCCAGTCTGTTCACGGAGCAGAGCCCTTACACATCTCTCCCAGCTCTTTTGCCTGCACTGTTGGAGCCAGTACTTGATTGACCATATTAATGACCCTTCAGTGTTGAAGGCAAAATCCTGCACTCCATTGCCCATGCATTACCATAAGAATTCTGCAGAGCCCCAAAGGCACACTTCAAACACAACTTTTGGCAAGAAAGCCAGCCTAATTTGTACATTGTAATTGATTTTGAAGCCAGATGCTTTCAACAGAATTTTCCATGACAGCAATACATTGAGGTAGAAAATTGCTATTGTGCTACATGTCTATTAACAGCCCTTTTTCTAATTCCAGCTAGCAATTTAAGTGGTATTAAATATTATTTATATATACCCTCTTCAGAAATCTCTGTATGAAAAACATGTTCAGTTCTAAGCACACACATTATAAATGTTGTGTTCCTCTGCTAGCACTGAATCTCCAGAGCAGTCATGATTTCTACCAAGTGCTACCTTATTTGTAGTAAGTGAGATACTTAGAAAACTCAAACATTTGAGGCTGCAAATAAAGCTACTAGCCTAACTAATAAAATCGTCTAATGATCACTGAATAATTTTGAGAGCTTTCAGAATGGCTTTGCACTTCTCCTTAATCCCTTTTGTTGGAAGACCTCAGAGAGAAGAAATGTCTCCAAAAAATGGCCATCACTAGATAGACAGATGGTAACCTCTGCACATCAGAAGAAATAGTATGTTCTCTTTAGCTGCTCTAGGACCTCAGGAGTTTGCTCCATCTGATCTCCTCTTCAATATTAAATAGGGAATGTTTTACTTTGATGTGTGTGCATACACATCTCATTAGCACTAAAGAGATTTGAAGAGTCAGTTCATGTACAAGAATTCTTTTAACTTGTGTCGACAAGCGAGTATATTTCCTCTTTTGTTCAAAAAAAAAATGAAAACTGCTGTGTGACAGAGGTTACCAGAGCAAACAAAGCCTTTTGGAATAACTGAAGATTACAGACTAAAATTAAATTGTCCACCATAGGAAACTGAAGAAATAGTTTTGCCTTTCAAGAAATTCTGGTATAACACCCCCAATAAATATATCTTTGCCAGGTATCATATCTGTCTTTCAAGTAATAGGTTGTGTACCCAGTATCATTTGCTAGTCTGCAGCTGAAAACTCGTGTACCCAACCAACTATATCAGCTTCTTCCAGAGTTGCTGGGGGCTGTCCAGGATATTCTTAGCAGTTCTCAGATCATTGGCCTGCTCTGAGCCATTACAAGTTTATTGCATTAGTCGATCTGTCAATGTTTGGCAACTCTCAGAAAACAGTTTATTAAAATACCAAAGATAATATTTCTGTTACAGACGACACGATTCATTCAGAAACCACTCTCATTACTTTTGCCATATTTAAAGAAAGATATCTATTGGTTATACTGGAATATAAACAGTTAAGTTGTAGATGTTGGGTAACTGTGTGGCATGTTTTAGACACAAGGCATTCTGACTTGTACATATCTGTTTAAGAATTGTGGGTTCATGTTGCATTTGTTCCATGGTAAAACAAAAAAACCCAAAGATTCTTCAATGTAGCATTGAAAAAAAAAACCAAAACCAAACAACAAAGCAGGATGCAATAATCTGTCATACAGTTGATTTTTTTATTATCTCTTGTCTATCCAATTTAAAATACGATTATGTGTCTACAAGAGAGTTATCAGTAGATCTGGAAACAAAGGAATATATATCAGGAATATACCAACTCAAACAGTAGCCTAACTGGCACCTCTGTTCTCTAAACTGCTTCAGCAACTGCCAGATTTTACCTCATTGTACCATGAGCTAACCACCCTCCTCCTAGTAAAGCATGGGTAAGATGAAACTGCTCAGGTTAATGTACAGCATCCCAGTGGAAGCAGCAGGAGACATTAGGTCTTCAAAAGGCAGCCTGATATCTTGATGCAAGAGAGGAACTTGTACATTTGGCATAATGAGAGCGGCCCAGGAATAATGACACAGGAACGAGGGCTTGCCATCCTGCTTTGCCAGACAAAATTTTGACAGTGGCCGTCAGCACTATTCAGTTTCATGTCCTTGACTGCGGAAGGAGGCTCCCCTCAGGGTGATTCACTCTAGCTGAGATTTGAGCTCTGGAAGTAGCTTTTTCTTTTCGTTAAATACAGAATAAACTGCTAAATTAAACCCCTCAGTGACAGATTAATGGTAGGTAGTGGGCCCTGATGCTCCAGGAAAAGATACAGGAAATGCTGTTATAGATAGAAAACAAGTCATGATGGTCTCTCTTCAATCCTTAGGAGATAGAAATTCATTGTAGAGCTGAAGTGGGAGTTTTTCTGTTCCTTTGCAGGTAAATGTCAGGTGTTGTCTTTAGTCTTCCGAATTTCGTGGGTGAGCCTGTTCAGTGCCTTGCTGAATGCTAGTGGTTTTCTGGCTTCAAAGCTGTTTATAACAGTAAGCTCCACATTATTCCTATGAGTTGTGTGGAAAAGGTAATCTCTGAATTGGTTTTGAATCAAAACCTTTTTGTTTGGGGGGTGGGCATGGTTTGATTTTCCTTCTTTGACCCCTTTGTGTTGAATCTAAGGAAGCAGAAAGACCAGCACTACCCTCTCCAGGCCATACTTTGTCTTTCCTTCTTTTATGAGAGCAGAGGAGGCTTGGCTTTTTCTCCTTCCCAAAGTAAATTATACCAGTCTTTTATAGTGTTTTTCCTATTACAGTTCTTCCACTCCCTAGATCATTCCTCTTATGATTCTAGATCATTTCTCTTAAGTGTTTCCAGTGGCAGTTCTTCCTCAATACCTATAGCAAAAAATCTGATCTGGTTTCAATAAATTTAATTTCAATAAAATTTTCCCCCATTGCAATTCGTCCTGCAGATGCTCTGCCTGTTTCTGCTGCCCCCTGTGTCAAAACAGCCTTCATCACTATCTGAGGGGACTCTGGTCCTGGCCAGCCATCTCTTCCAAGTCTCCTGGCCATGTCCTGCCTTCATCTGCCTTCTGTTTTGGCTCAGGAACTGCTCTTAATATTCACATCTGCAGACAGGAGTGTGAGGATGTTGCTTAACAAACAATTAATAAAGAAAGCCTTGCTATTAGCATTGTTCATAACCTTCCCAGACCCTTTTCTCCTCTCTAAGCAGGTTTTGATGTGTAATCCAATTACTGAGTGCAGAAAATTGCCCCTTAATCAGTGCAGAGGGCCAGTGTTTCAGTTTCAGCTCTATTATCCTCACATTGTCACTGCCAGCATTTGTGCTCACATGTGCTACTGGGCCAGGCTGAGTGCTCCAGGGTCTGTGCCCTTGAGCTGCCAGGAGTGTTTGAATGTTGTTGTCATACACCCTAAATAAGCCAGGACCCTTTTTTTGTGCTGGGGAAAAAAAAGAAAAAAAATAGAAAACTAAAATGGGCGCTTTTAACAAACTGATTTCACAACTCATTTATCAAGCCCTGTAGCAGACCATTTATTTTAGCTCCTTTTTCCTCCATCAAAAGCTGTATGTTAAAAGGCAGAGGTGAATTTTGAGGGGCTGGGAACTGACAGATGCAGTGCCACCCACCCTCACCAGTGCTTTGCCAGGAGGCCTTCCACTAGAATTCAAGGGTAGGAGCTGTTATTTCTCCTGAGGTGAATCCCACCTTCAGAATCAAATTATTTCTTTTGTCAGGTCTAGTAAGCATTGAACACCACAGACTTTGTTTCACTACAGGTATGAATGAACGCCTCTGTACAGTACTTTCCATTGCTATGAAATATATATGTATGTATGTATGTATAGATGTATATATATATGTAATGGGGAGCATAATTATTGTTCTACCTAAAGAAAGGTGACATTCTACTTCAATGTAACTTTTAAGTGCAGCTTTTAAGAGAAACTGTGTCTTAAAGGGAAGCTGAAAAAGTTTAGAGGTATATGTTTTAATGAGCTTTAATAAGCTCTGAGTTTGGGTTTCAGTCTCTAGGGCAAAATGCACCCAAGATGATTTTCCCATCACCTTTCCAGATCACACCCTGTAAGAATTTAACGTGGGAGGCACTGCTTGAGCACTGGCTGTTCCTGAAGGTATTTGGATGTTGCATGTGCTGTGTGTCTGTCCTCAAGTGTCAGCCTCCATTTTGTACATGGGCTTGACTGGGAGGTGAAAGACACACTTTTGTTTTGCTCCAAGACCCTGATGGTAATATTTGCCTCAGCAGATGTTTTCTCTTTGATTAGTGTAACTCCTTCCACTTTTTTTAAACTTTTAATTTGTGTTAAGTAAGTTTATCAGGTGATTCCAGGAAGGCACACTCCATCTGCCCAGCATCAGAGCTTCCCTTCCAGCAACATACCTTCTTCTCATTTGTTTACTTGACTGTACTGGACCACTGTGAAGCAATTACACAAGCAATAACACAGGTGTTGCATTTTTCTGCCATTGCCTTTTGTAAGACACAACTCTCCACTGACATTGAAAAGTGGTGGGAGACCCAGAAGCTGCATTGTTGTTTACTAGCAATATAACCAATGCACAGTGTTCCTACAGAGGGCCTGTCCTCACTCTTTAGAGCAGCTGGCTGTCTCAGGCCCAATTTAATTCACAAGGCTGGATTATAAACAGTTTTGGATCTCTTCACCAACACTCCATCAATCTTGCTTCCATCAGTTTTTGTGCTTTTGTTTAGTTTCAAGCTAGAAGAAAGTTTAAAGAAATGTGCTAAGACTCCCATATAGGGTGAGTAAATATCCCATATGTTTCACAAAAATTACAACAAAATTAAGGGATTTGCTCTCACATTGAACAGAACTAATAAGAAGTTCTAACTGAAATATTAAAAAGTTATTAAGAACAGCCTGAAATTTCTGTAATCAAATTGTTCTCTGCTTTTAATTTAAAAATCACCAAATACAAATGAGGTTCATTTTGCCACCTTCTTTTAGAAGTAGCCTTTAATTAAAATTTGAATCCTCCCTAACAGGAGGTTTATTGATGTGGATCTAAATTGCACCAGTCTGTCCCATGTTAGATCATCCGCTTCTGGGCAGAGGGAAAACCAAAGGCTGTTCACAAGAGAAACTCATGTTGTGAATGGTTTTAAAATTCTTCAGAGCTCCTATCCACTTCCAGATGTCAGTGATGGGGAGGATCAGAAACCTTCCTGTGAACCCTGTCATTTTGCATGTTGAAATCCTGGCTTGAATTCAGGTCTCCACCTCAGCTTCTTGTAAATGTTAATATTCAAGTAGAACAAAAACCTTAGAGGCAATTACAGCATGAACATCTCTTCTTGTTTATGTATAGTAGCTGATAGCAGAGTCTGCAATAATAATCTGTGTTTATACATGTGCTGTTTAATGTAACAGTTGGGTACAAAATACCTTTTAACTGTCACAAGAAAATAACTGGATTGATGTCACTTTTTGCTTGTATGAATATAATTATTTGCCTTGCAGGGACCAGTTCTACTTTTGTCATGTTATTTATGATTTTTAAATACAATTGTGATAAATTAGGCTCATTTCTAAGATAAACAATATTGGAGCCAAGCAGCTGCCTCTGTACATGTGCATGTTATCACAGCTGATATCAAGTCCAAGTCAGACTCCTTGTCTTGCTTGGACCTTTCTTTAACCTTTCTGGCTTATTCAGGGAAATGTGGACCAGTCTATTTTCTTATTAAAAATATGGCTTTGTGAAAAGCTGAACTTATTTTTTAAATCCTTTCTTTTCTGATTCAGAAAGACTGTAACAATCATATTTTTCTAAACTGCCTATTGTTTGTGTTGGGAAAGGATATATAGATATATATTTTACTCTACAGATTTCCATGTACTGTTGGAACTCTTTTTTTTCATATATATCTTCCTATTTGCTAGAATTAGCTCAAAAAGCTGTAAGCTTGTGTATACTGACTCTATGAAGTTCTATAAAAATGCAGCTGCATAAAAAGACTGACTTTATTTTTTATGTAAATTGTTAGAGCTAAGTCATCCTTAGTGTTATGCCACGTGAGATGTATGGAAAGAAATCAGGTCATTGTTTTGAAGGCTGGACAGCGTTACGTGACACTTCCTAAAAAGTCTTGACTGAAAGTCAGGAGAATTTACGTTAAAAATTGTACTATTTTGGGCCCTGATTCTATAGTTTTTTCACACTGTTTAGAACCTTATTTCAAAATTAGTGCTATGGAATTTCATGGGAAACATTAAAAATAAGAGCCTATGATGTGTGAATAGCTGTGAGAGAAAAAAGACCTTTTCTAGTGAAGAACAGGGCCTTTTAACTAGTTAAGAGGTGATGTTTTGAGTGTTTCAGGACAACTTTTTGTGTTTTTTTCTGAGCTGTGCACTCCTGTTTATTCTGGATTTAATCCATAGCTGAAATGCCAGATTAAATTGATTGAAGCCTCATGTGCAGATGAACATAATAGAAAGCTGTGGTGAAATATTGCAGAAAATGGCCTGATTTCCTTCTTCAGAGCCATAGTTAAAGTAACTCACAGCCTTGGCTTCTTTGCACCTGTGAAGCAGAGGCCCTTGCTTTGTACCTCAGCTGTGGTATAACATGGAAGGATTTCTGCTCTCTGCCTGGAAAATACTGTCTATTCCTCGTCCTTGTCAAAGTATAATATTTTCTCAAGTAAAAAATCTGATTCTTCAAGACTCGTCCAGGAGTTAAGGGGAGGCTGGAACCTTCTGTGATCTGGCCACACTATTCCAAAAGTTTATCCCTCGATGACAAATAAAATATGATGTGACTTTGCTGTTTGCAAGTAGGATAAAGAGACTGAAAATTCATCACCCCAAGCCCTAGCCTTGTGACTGTTCTATGATGCTCCACTGTTACCAATGAACTATGTTGAATCAGATTATAAAATCAGAGTATTTTATTGCATGTGTCCTTTTTTGAAATGAAAACATAGTTGTATTCGATGTTGCAGTTATAATGCAGTAAATAAACATATGTGCATTTCTTTTTAAGGAATTTGAAATTATTCTGGGGGGTGGTTGTGCATTTTTGCTGTGCTTATTTCTTACCATCAGAATATTTGGACTGACCTAGAAACAGCCAGAATAAGTGAAGCAAGGATAAAATTTTCTGCTGCCTGCACTTGTGCTCAGGTAAAACTGGAAGATGGTTGTACTCAATGTACCTACTTCACTCTAGTCCTTTGAGATTTAATAGAAAATGTCAGCTTTTCCTTCAGTCATTTAAATAGAATTCTTCTGGACTCAAAGAAAATGTGAATTTGCTAAATCATATTATGATTCAGTATGATTTCTTATGGCATTGGTCTGTGACACTCTCTGTGGGGTTCCCCTCAGTTCCAAACCTGCTAATTTCAAACCTGTTAAGACAAACAGGAGGTTTTTTGAGACCCTCAGTTTTGAAGTTAACACCAATCACATGTAGCAAACAAGCAGCATATCAGCATAACCACTGCTGATTTCTCTTAAGAGTAATCACTGCAGCATGTATGTACAGATGCACAACTCTCATTAGTATCCAGGTATTTGTTGGATTTTTTCCTGAATCTTTATGAGACAGAGACTGCCGGGATCCCTGACATCAAAGGGCTCCACAGGCAGTTATTTCTGGACAAGTATAAAACCTCTACAATTTTTTGGTGAACCTGTGGGCTGAGTTCCCTGTTGTTTCTATGAACACACTGAGCTTTATCCAGGTCTTTGACTTCTCTCCAGTATTTGGAGCATGTGATCTTGTGCTTTCCTATGAGCTGTGTCCTGCTAAGCCCCCAAAAGTACAAATGCAGACACTTCAGCTGATCATAGCTGTGTCAAGGTCAGAGCAGCAGCCCAAATCCCTCCCAGAAGAGAATGGGGTAAAACAAGCCCAGCGCTGTAGGAACAGCAGACTGTCATAGTGGGACAGTTGCATTCCCATTAGGGCTACGATTGATGCACAGAGGAAATTTTTGTTCTTACAGGTTTTTATTTTTCCTTTGCAATGCATTTTTTCATCTTCCAGTTTATTTTTTGTGGAGCCAGAAAGTAGGCTGCTTTGTGTACATCAGGGTTCTTCTGGAACCAGAAAAAAAATTTGGGCTTCATTTTGTCCTGAACACTGTACAGAGACAGGAAAGACCTTCATCCAGTGGGGAGGAAAAGTGCCTACAAACAGATAAAACAGCTCATGTTTGTATGGGGAATGAATATTTTGTTGACTAGGATTAGCATGCAAACAACTCTACAGCTGATTGGTGGGAGTTGGGACAGTCAACAAGAATTATTATAAACACTTCTAGAGGACAATGAAATACTCCAGGCAGTTATAAATCTCTTAAGTCATATATTATTGGAGGAACACCTGTTTTAGATAGCAACCCTGTTGCTAGAGGATGGAAGTTTAGGTTGTAGCAGCAAAAGGTGGCAAGTTCAATAAATAAGAATAATAGAGTAAGACCCTCAAGTGGAGTAAATCAGTGCAGCTTCATTGAAGCTGTTGGAACTAAGTCAATTTACAGCAGTAAGAATCTGGCTTGTAGTCAACAGGGATTTTTTAGAATGTTTAAAACTTCTCCATTTAGAGAATTCTCCTCTGCCTTATGCCTGTGCACTAAATCGTATCCACACGAAAGTCCTTGCCAGTATAATGAGGTCATTTCGGATGTGAGTGTTCATTATATGCTTAGGTAAATTAAAGGGAAAAAATACATCATTAGCAAAGTCTTAAATAAAGGATGGAGCAAGGTTAGCGAGTGAGAACTATTTAAATAAAATCAATCTCAGCCCTGGAGAGTTAATGGGGAGTGGCTTTCTGTGGAAAAAGGCTGATGCTCTGTTGATGCTGCACAAAGAAGTTGAGCGTTACGGCCATGAGGAATTAAAAGCAGGGACTGAGGTTTTTTCTAGGTTAATATTTCAAGCTTTCTAAATTTCATTCTGTGACATGCCATGAATGCAACCTAGGTTTCCAAATTCAGAAAAATGCTCTGATAAACACATATTGCTGAAGCAAATGAAACTGAAGGCTCATCCGGTTTTACTGTAGCACTCGTAGTATTAAGAGGGATTGTAATATAATCCTCTTCAATGAATAACCCTAACAGATGTTATCAGAGTTGCTCTGTATGAGCTGTGGACCTCTTGCTAGAACTCCCTCTGTGGAAGTCCAGTTCATAAATTGTCCTAATGGGCTGCCTGCCTCATCCTGCTGCTGCCGCAGCATGAAAAGGAGGTGGTTACCAGAGGCCTTGAAAGCCGGCATTATTCCCATCTGTTTTTCATTACAATACTGCTAAATATTTCATGCTTTTTGTTTTACAAACAAGTAAGAGCAAAACTAATCTTTTTGTTTAATGTTCCTTGATCGACGTTTAAAGGAGGAAAAAAAGAAGTTTTGGGTTTGGTTTGTTTTTTTTTTTCTTTACTTCAGATCTCTGCAAAAGCTTTTAATGGAAGATAGAGCAGATTTCCATTGACTTTTCTGGTGGGCTTTTTATGGCACCACTGATACAGGAAAAGATACAGGGGAAATCCAGATGATGAATGTGCTGTTCAATCAGCTGGGATTTCTTTGCTTGCAAGGAGATAACTCGATGAAGTGCAAACAGAGACAGGGAGCAGACATTGACTTCTTGTCAGCTATATAGAGAGCTATCTCTGGCTGGGGCTGCTGGAAAACACAGCAGCTATTAGTCCCCCTTTGCCCTTTCACAGCGCCCTGTCAGAGGGTCCCCAAACACTGCAGCCAGAGCCATCCATTAAACCACAGGGCAACAAGTCTGTTTAATTACCTCTCCTTTACAGGGAGGGGGAGAACAGCTCTGGGAGCATTCAGCTGACATTTTAACCTCCTGGTTCCCTAAACTCCCACTGAGGTGGATGAGTGAAAGCATTCCCATGGGCACTCAGCATCTCTGGCAGCAGGTGCTGCCCCTGCCCCAGAGGAATGTAGGTGACCCAGCTCCACACAGTGACCTCCATCCACAGGGCAGAGGTGAGGAGGAGGTCAGGAGCCTCCTTGGGGCATGCAGTCTCCCCTCAGGTGACCTGTGGACATGCTGGACAAAGGTTTTGAGCAGTTTCTTTCCAATCCAAAGCACACGCTGGCACAGAGTGTCTTGAGTGATACTGTTCCACTCGAATTGCAGTGTTGGCTGGTTTATCTGATGTTTGGACAAATACCTTCATTATGGCACCCCATGGGCTACTTTAGCTGTGAAACCTAATTGCAGGCAAAATGTGTGAAATGTCACTCAGAAAGGGCTAAACACTCATAGAATCATAGAATGGTTTGGTTTGGAAGGGACTTTTAAAGATCACCTAGTTCCAACCCCCCTTCCATTAGACCAGGTTGCTCAAAGCCCCATCCAACCCGTCTTTGAACACTTCCAGGAACAGGACATCCACAACTTCTCCGGGCAACTTGTTCCAATGCCTCACCACCCTCACAGTAAAGAATCTTTTCCTAATATCTAATCTACTGTCATTCCATCTAAAACCATTACCCATCATCTTATCACTAACTACCCATGTAAAAAGTCCCTCTCCCTCCTTTTTATAAGGCCCTTTTAAGTACTGGAAGGTGCCCTAAGGTCTCCTCAGAGCTTTCTCTTCTCCAGGCTGACAACCCCAACACTCTCAGCCTGTCTTCGTAGGAGACATGCTTCAGTTCTCTTGATCAACTTTGTGTCCCTCCTCTGGACTCACTCCAGCAGGTCCATGTCCTTCTTATGCTGAGGTCCCAGAGCTGGACACAGCACTCCAGCTGAGGTCTCATGAGAGCAGACTTAATATTAAGACAATATGAATGTTCTCTCTTTCAGTCTGTTGAAGCTTGACCCTGCAATGGAGTGATGGTGTGTGAGTGCAGATAGTTAAATCACAATCTACATTTGACCACCTAGTAATACTTTTTATATCATTGCACAAACAGAAATGAGTTTGTCTGATCCACTCTTGAGGTGAATTCTCTGCATTTATTGCAGGATGAATTTTTCCCTGATGGCTGATGCATCAACCATCCTATCCCTTTCTGCCATAATCACTGGCCCAAATTCAGAGGCAAAAGTGAGTCTTAGGTCTTGATTCTAATGCTTGCCTGCAAATAGGCTTTATAACTTATGCTGAACAGGACACCCAAGCAGTAAAATCATATACCACTTTCTACATTATGTTTCTTATTTTTCTAGCATTTTCCTCCCAAAGATCTCAAGGCCCACTGCAAGGTCTGACTAATTCTCAACAGTCATCTGTGTATTAAGTTCTTTTTGCTAATTACAGCTGAAACACTACTGCCAGAGTTTTACATTGCTGTTCTTGAGCATCTCCCTACAATGGCACACAATAGTTTCACTCAGGACTGTAAAAATAAATTGTAACTTCTAATGTCCATAGTTCCTTGCATTCCATCATTTTCATTGAGGATTTTGACGTTCTTCTTAAAAAAATTTCAAATCCAGGAATAGTAAATGCCGAGTCATAAAAGCTTAGGAAATGGGTCGAATCAGAGTGCAAGGCAGCATTACAGTGTCTGATCTGCTGTCTCTGATAATACCCTCACAAGACAAGGGTCCCTCTTTCCCCCCCCCTCCATTCCTGAACAAATGAATTGCAGCATGTATGAAATCTCCAGAGGCCATCTGTGACTGTAATTCATTTACCCACCGTATTATGGAACAGATTTTCCAGTGAGTTCAAAACTCGGGAAAGGGGGGGAAGGGAATAGTATGATGAGAAGGATCTGTGATCCATATCTAAAAGTAAAAATATTATTCAATTGTCATATTTGATGGATAAAGTGTCTGACACACCAGGCAAAGCCATAGCAACTAGATAAATATGCTTAAAACATTTAATTTTGATACATTAAGAATGAGCTGGAGCAGGAGTTTATCGACACTGAAATTAAGCAGACATTTCTAAGTTCCTAAAAGCCTCTGATTTTGTTTAGTTTGGAAGAAAATTTGCTGTAGATAACTTGGAAGTGTAAGGGGAAGTTGGACATGGTGCACAAA